CAAGTAAATACATATTAAATAAATAAAAATATTTAAATTCAAAAATGGCCACAATTTATTTCTTAAGCAGAAAAATACAAAATTGCATATAAGCTGTAATTCCAAGTTTATTTTAAATCATTTTTTATTTCTCCAGATCTTCTATAAGGAAACTAAAAAGGAAAAGAGCTTTGAACAAGGGTTCAAAGTTTGAAAATATGACCGTGGGCTTCATAAATCTGAAAAACAGTAGGAAGATACACATTATTTTAAATTCATACTATTAAGAAGCAAAGGGAAAACTTCCAGGGGTCAAAAATGAGATTGGAACAAAAAAAGCCAGAGCCCCAACTTCTCTGTTGGAGTTTGCCAGTGTAGGAAAAAAGAGGGGCTTAGGTTTTTGTACAATAAGAGAAATAAATATCTTGGACAAAGTCAGGTGAAGATTGAAAAGATTCCCCACATAAAATCAGGACCCCTAAAAAGCTATGCTTCCAATTAAAAATCGAGAGACTCTTCACTTTCTGTATCTTATAATCACTTAAGCATAGGCGTTGGGTACTTATTTCTGACATTTGTTGTTCCTACTGCGGTTGCTGCTTCTGCCTGGGAAGTTTGGACTATGAGCTCATCTTTAACAAGGCTTTATCTGTGAGAATCCTTTTCTCCCCAGGGAAGCTGAACAGCCCCAAGGGAACGCACGCAATACACAGATTCTGGTAGCTCTGAGTCTCTAAACAAAACCACCACACTTGATCATTATTTGATCAAAAAGCCAGCCCTAGGCAGTTGGAGTTTCAGTTGACTTTCTTTTAAAGTAAATTTTCCTTTAAAGATTGTATTTATTTGTTTGAGAGGCAGAGTTACAGAGAGAGAGGGAGAGACAGAGAGAGAGGTCTTCCCTCCCCTGGTTCACTCCCCAAATGGCCACAATGGAAAGGAGCTAAACCGATCTGAAGCCAGGAGCCAGGAGCTTCATCCAGGTCTCCCACGTGGGTGCAGGGGCCCAAGGACTTGGGGCATCTTCTACTGCTTTCCTAGGCCATAACAGAGAGCTGGATCAGAAGTGGAGCAGTGGGAACTCGAACCGGCATCCATATGGGATGCCAGCACCACAGGGAGAGACTTAGCCTACTACACCACAGCGCCATTTCCCTCCAATTGACTTTTGCATTCTACATTTTAGATGTGAATAGCCAACGGGAACCAGTCGTGTGAGGAAAGTCTCTACCAAGCAAACCCAACGAAGGGAACACTAAAGCAGTACAGGAGGGAAGGAAGTGACTTCTCAGGAGAGAGGACAGTACATTGCAGAAGGGTGGGCTTCAAAATAAAAATACTCAATGAAAAGGGGCAGAAATTTAAAAAGAACTCAACTAAAGGGTTAAAGAGGAGACTCTGAAGTAATCTCACAAAAAGTAGAATCAAAAGACAGATGGAGCAGAGAGAAAGAATAAGAAAATTAAAGGAGTAATCTAGAATGTCCAGCAATTAAAGTAAATCAATTGCAGAAAAAAGTGGAATGAGAAAATGAAAGGAAAAAATTAGCAAAGATATAATTCAATAAAAATTTCCCAGAACCAAAAGACATAAGTTTCCAAGTTTAAAAGAACCCACCAAGTGCCCAAAACAATGGATTTTTTAAAATGTACATCATGAAATTTCAGTGAATCATAGAAAAAATTAGTTTATAAAATTTTTCAAAGGAGCAAAGGAAAGTTCCCACACAAAGAGCAAGAAAGAGAATTGCATTAGTGCTTAGCAGCAATTCTTGTTTTCTTTCTTTTTAAGATTTATTTATTTATTGGAAAGACAGAGTTACAGAGAGGCAGAGCCAGAGAGTGACAGATAGAAGTCTTCCATTCGCTGATTCACTCCCCAAATGGTTGCAAGGGCCGGAGCTGGGCCAATCCAAAACCAGGAGCCAGCAGCTTCTTCTGGTTCTCCTACACAGGTGCAGGGGCCCAATGATTTGGGCCATCTTCTACTGCTTTTCCAGGCCATAGCAAGAGAGCTGGATCAGAATGGAACAGCTGGGACTTGAACCAGCGCCCATATGGGATGCCGCCACTGCAAGTGGTGGCTCCACCCGCTATGCCATAGCACCAGCCCCCTTAGTAGCAATTCTTGAAGGGAGCAGTATCTTCAACGTTATTTGGGGAAATCATTTTCTAGATAGATTGAAATACCCAGCCAAATTATCAATAAACAGTGAGGGTGAATTAATCAAATTCTGAGACATGCAAAACCTCAAATATTTCTTTCCTTCCATGTACTTCTTCTCAGAAAACATGTATTTCCAGCAGAGTTATGACAGCAAAAGGAAGAAGCGAGGGGAAGCTGCGTACCCAAGGAAAGAGGTGACCCCATACAGACATGCGACAGTCTCAGATACTGCTGGAGGGAGTTCTCCAGGGTACAGTGATGCAACACACACTGAAAGCAGGTTGGACGTGTGGGCACCAGAGGAAGAGGGTCCTCAGGAGAAAACAATGGGGTTCAATGCAATGCTGTTTAATTGAGATATAACACACCACAGAAGTCACCTTTCGAAAGCGTGGCTTTCACTTGGCTGCAGGACGGTCACCACGCTGAGCAGCTGGCACCCCTGTCGAATTCTAGAATATTATTATTTTTCCTCCAAAGGAAGTCCGTGCCTCAGCAGCCTCTCCCCAGGCTCTTCTCACCTCAGTCTCTGCCAGTGCTAGTCGCTCATCTACTTTAGTCGCAGGATTTGCCTGCTCTGGGAGGTGCGTGTGTGTGTGTGTGTGTGTGTGTGTGTGTGTGTTCCAGGTTTAATCATGTTACTAGTACTTTATTCCATTTCATGGATAAAAGTATTGCACATTTTGCCAATTTTGTTGGACATTTGGGTTGTTTCCACCTCAGTGCTACTGTAAATTATGCTGCTGTAAACATGCATGAACTTATATTTCAACTTTTTTGATTACGAGAGAATATATTTTGTGTTTAAAAATGTGCTAAAAGGAAAAGTTTAAAAGTAATAGATGGTAAGGATATAGAAAACTAAACAAAACTAAATAGAAGTTATTAATTCCAAATGAAAACACAAAGCAGTAGAAAGAAGAAATGTACTCTCAGTGGGCGACGTGGCTTAGCCACAAGCAATATAGGTGTGTTCTATTCCTAGTGAGTGGTGCTTCACATTATTCCAGATAGTGACTCCTGATGGGAGTCTTGATGCTGTCTTTTAAAATTTATTTGTTGGGGTCGGTGCTGTGGCATAGCAGGTAAAGCTGCCGCCTGTGGTGCTGGCATCCCATATGGGCATCAGTTCAAGTCCCAGCTGCTCCACTTCTGATCCAGCTCTCTGCTATGGCCTGGGAAAGCAGTGTAAGGTGGCCCAAATCCTTGGGCCCCTGAACCCATGTGGGAAACCCAGAAGAGGGTCCTGGCTTCTGGCTTCAGATCAGCTCAGCTTTGGCCATTGTGGCCATCTGGGTAGTGAACCAGCAGATGGAAGACCTCTCTGTCTCTCTAGCTCTACCTCTCTCTGTAACTCTTTCAAATAAATAAATAAATCTTTTTTTAAAAAAAGTATTTGTTTATTTGTTTGAGACACAGATAGACACAGAGGGAGCTGTGAATTCAGGGGATCCCTGAATGCCCAAAATGGCCAGGACTGGGCTAGAGCTGAGCCAGGAGCTAGGAGCTCAATCCAGGTCTCCCACATAGGCGACCGGAACCCAATCACTGCCTCCCAGGGTCTGCATTGGCTGGAGTCAAGAGCCAGAGCTGGGTGTGGGAGGTGGGCCTCTTAACCTCCAAACTAAGCACCAACTCCCACGTTCTTTGTATTAACAATTCTACTGATGTAACATTAATATAAAAGAACTGCACCTATGCAGTGTGTTCAATTTTGGCAGTTTGCATGTATGCAAACACTTGTGATACCATCACCACAATCAAAGTAATGGATGCAGCCGACATCTCCCAACATTTCCTGTGTCCCATGGTTTTGATTTTGCAGCAAAAATGCAACATGAGATCTACTTTCTTAATAAATTTTTAAAGATTTATTTAGTTAGTTAGTTATTTGAAAGGCAGAGAGAGAGAGAGAAATCTTCCATCCACTGGTTCACTTCCCAAATACCCACAACCACCAGAGCTGGGCCAAGCCTAAACTAGGAGCCTGGATCTCCATCCAGGTCTCCTATGTGGGTGGCAGGAACCCACATCTGAGCCATCATCTGCTGCCTCCCAGGCACATTAGCAGGCAGCTGGAGCAGAAGCAGAGTAATCAGGACTTGCAGTAGGCACGCTGATATGGGATTTGGGCCTCCCAACAGCAGCTTAACCCACTGAGCCATAATGTCTATCCTCCTCAATCAAGTTTTAAATACATGATGTAGTACTAACTCTAGGGTGCTAAGTTGTCCAGCAGGTCACTAGAACAAATTCATCCAGTACAACTGAAATGTTGACCCCTTTGAATAACAGCTCCCTGTTCCCCACCCGGGCAGTGCACTCGTGACTAAGGTGCTTTGGATGTTACTTAGCTGCCCTGACAACACAAACTAACGTCCACCTCAGAAGACACACTTACCACACTGCCTGTGTTGGAGTATTTTAAAGTAATAATGGCTGTGTTAAAAAAAAAAAAAAAAAACTGAGTGGTACAATCAGCAATGAGCTACTGTTTTTAATTTTTTAATGTATTCAAGAAGACAGATGGAAGGAGACAGAGAGACAGGCTGACAGAGGGAACACCTGTTTGTTCCCCTAATGCCCAAAACATCCAGGAGCTGGGAACTCAATCCACATATCTTACGTGGCTGGCAAGGATCCAGTTACTTGAGCCATAACCGGCTGCTTCCCCGGTTCTGCATTAGCAGGAAGCTGGAGGCAGGACTCAAACTCCAATGTGGGACCTTAACCAGCATCTTACCTTCTATCGCCAAACGCCAGCCCCGGATTTTTCATTTTTATTCAGATCCTTAGTGTTTCGTGTTGACGTTCTACCATTGTCATAACAAATGGACAATCTGCTTCCTGTACAGAAAGAACATTGTGGACCCAGAGGATCCCCGATGTGTCCGGTTGACGCTCACCGGCCGGATGATGGTGGTGTCTCCAGAGGAAGTAGAATTTGCCAAGCAGGCCATGTTCTCCAGGTTTGTAAACACTTTGCAAGCAGTTCGCCCAGAAATACACAGCAATAAAGAGGGGACATCAGGGCTGTGCTGTGTGATGCGTCTTACACAATGACACTGAGTGGCCTAACTGTCAGCCTCCCTCACACTGTCGCTGTTGGCAGCTGTGGCCGCAGCGGCCAGGCAGGTGGCCTTCAGTGGGCTGACAACACCTTTGGAGTTGGCCTCACAGGCACAGTCCCTACCTGCTTCAACCTTGGGCAATGCCTCGACTTGCAAGGACGCTAACTGAGCCTGCCAAGTCAAGTTCACACAAAGGCAAGTTCACACGCCCACTCTGAGCAAAGCATGGTGCCTGCCAGCAGTGCCGGGGCAGGATTTCACAGTGCAGTATTCTCGCTCTGACATCAGCAGCGTCCTGCAGACGCAGCTTCCTGCCTCCACCTGCCCCTCCACCTGTTTACTGAATCAGATTTCTCCAGAAACAAAGCCCAGTAATCAAACTGCAAAAACTGTGCCCCCGGGATATTAAGGTGGATGCTAAAGTTTGAGAACCATTGCTGAAGGGGACAGAATGAGTGAGAAGGTGGCCCCGTGCAGAGACCAGGGCTTGTGATGAGGGATGAGCTTGTGTGCACGAGGGATGGTCTTTCAGTCTTGGAGTCTCCAGGGGTTGGGGTTACGCTTGGAGGCAGCAGTCCAGAGCTGAAGGTCCATGTGGGAGTGGTGTAGGGATGCAAAAAGGCACACACCTTGTGTTGATGCTGGTGGAAGAATGCCCCCAAGGCAGGCAGGAAGCTGGAAGAGCCATCCCTGACCCCAGAGACTGGAAGATCCTACATGCGGGGAACCATCAAATAAGTAGCAGAGGACAGACAGCAGAAGCCACACTGCTCACTGCCATGGGAAAAGGTTACAAATACATAAGGGAGAAAACTGAATTGGTTGGGCCTTGGCTGTATCAGTCAACAGGAGCTCCTGGTTTCCAGCACACACAGAGAGACACAGACGTAGATCCGTGTATGTGAATCTGTGCGTGCGTGAGCCTGCACATGTGGATTTCCACCCTCGGCTGTCACGCTCGGTGCGCGCACCTCCCAAACATTATGAAAGGCAGTGAGAACAAGTCAAACCTCTGCCAATCACAGGGCTCCGTAAGTTCATTTCCCATCTTCCTCAGTTCTACAGACAACTGACCTACTCAATTTGCCGCCACTATGTATCACGGTCCCCTTACTTCCAGCTTTCTTTATATTCTTCTTAAAACATTTATTTATTTATTTATTTATTTGAAAGGCAGAGCAGCAGAGAGAGGGAAAGACACACACACCACAGAGAGACAAAGATCTTCCCTCCTTCTCTGATTGACTCGCCCAAATATCCACAGCGGCTAAGGCTGGGCCTGCCTACAACCTGCAGCCAGGAGCACTATCCTGGTTTTCCACCTGGGTGATAGGGGCCCACGTACATGGGCCATCTTCTGCTGCCTTCCCGGGTGCATCAGCAGGAAGCTGGATTGCAAGCAGAAGAGCTGGGACTTGAACTAGCATTCCAAAATGGGATATAAGCGTTCCAAGTGGCAGGTCAACTTGCTGTGGCATAAAGCTGGCCACTGTATTTTTTTTTGAAAGATTTATTTATTTGTTTGAAAGGCAGAGTTTAAGAGAGGCAGAGAGAGAGAGAGATCTTTCATCCGCTGGTTCATATCCCAAATGGCCACAACGGCTGGAACTAGGCCGATCCCAAACCAGGAGCCAGGAGCTTCTTCTGGGTCTCCCATGTGGGTGCAGGGACCCAAGGACTTGGGCCATCTTCCACTGCCTTCCCAGGCCACAGCAGGGAGCTGGATCGGAAGTGGAGCAGCCAGGATTTGCACCAACGCCCACATGGGATGCTGGCACTGCAGGCAGCGGCTTTACCCACTACACTACAGCAATGGCGCCTGTATTCTTTAAAAAAAAATTTTTTTTTTGCGAGAAGGAGAACTGCAGCTCACTGATGTACTCTGTAAATGCCAGGACTGGGCTGTGGAGAAGCCAGGAGCCAGGAACTCAATCCAGATGTTCCATGTGAGTGGCAAGAACCCAATCACTTGAGCCGTCACCACTTCTTCCCAAGATCTGCCTTAGCAGCAAGCGGGAATCAGTTGTTGGATATAGGATGCCGGCATCTTAATAACTAGGAGCCCCTCCCACCCCTCTTTATCTTCTTTTTAGCTCCCACAGTCATCCTCCTCCAGGTACTTCCAGCTCCACCCATTGCCTGGTTCCAAAGCCACTGCCCCATAAATGAAGGTTTGTCGCACCTGCCCACTAAACCCACCTCCAGATATAAAGTCTGCTCCAGTTATCAGTACAAAACTAGATTGCTTAAGATAGCAACAATCGTGTTATTGTCTCAGCTGCATGAGTATTTGTGGTGCTGAGACATCAGATCAACAGCTTACCTTCAATTGGTCCAGAAAAGAGAAGAGTATTTTCCATTGTGCTTTTAATTAAATTCTATGCATATTTATTTCAAAATACATTATCTTTTTAAAAGATCATCAATTTTTTGTTGCATTTAGCTTGGTTCTGCATGTTCCTCCAGCTTGGACTTGATTGCTGTATTAGGTTTATAACATTTTTTATTTGGGAAAAAAAGGATTTTATTTATTTGAAAAGCGGAGAAACAGAGACAGAGAGATTTCTTATCCGCTGGCTTACGCCCTAGCCAGGCCTGAGCCAAGCTGCTAGGAGCCAGGAATTCAGTCCACATCTCCCACGTGGTAGACAGGGATCCAGCTTCATGAGCCATCCCCTTTGCCTCCCAGGCTGTGTAGAATCTGGAATGGGGACTAGAACTCAAACTTGAACGCAGGCACTGCGATACGGGATGCAGGCATCCCAAGCAGCCTCTTAGCTGCTCTGCCGAATGCCCACCCCACTAACATTTTTAGATGTAAAAGAAATTTTCATGAAAATTTTTTTTTTTGACAGGCAGAGTTAGAGGGTGAGAGGGAGAGACAGAGAGAAAGGTCTTCCTTTGCCGTTGGTTCACCCTCCAATGGCCGCCGCGGCCAGCGCACTGCGCTGATCCAATGGCAGGAGCCAGGTGCTTCTCCTGGTCTCCCATGGGGTGCAGTGCCCAAGCACTTGGGCCATCCTCCACTGCACTCCCTGGCCACAGCAGAGAGCTGGCCTGGAAGAGGGGCAACCGGGACAGAATCCGGTGCCCTGACCAGGACTAGAACCCGGTGTGCTGGTGCCACAAGGCGGAGGATTAGCCTAGTGAGCCGCGGCGCCGGCTGAAATTTTTTAAAAATGTGAGCCACAGCTCTGGCCATTGAGGATATGATAAGTACATAGCGGGCATGCATGGGGAGGAAGGCAAGTTTGGGGTTGGCGTGGAAGTACAGTGGGTTAAGCCACAGCCTGTATCGCCAGCCTCCCATACTAGAGCACTGGTTCAGGTCCTGACTGCTCTACTGCTAATCCAGCTCTGTGCTAGTGCACCTGGGAGAGCAGCAGAGGGTGGCCCTAGTACTTTGGGTCTTGCCACCCATATGGGAGATCTGGGTGGAGTTCTAGGCTCCTGCTTTTGGCCTGACCCGGTCCTGGCCATTGTAGCCATTTGGCAAGTGAACCAGCAGATGCAAGATCTCTTTCTCTGTATCTTTCTCTGTCATTTTGCCTTTCAAATAAAAATGAAATAAATCATAAAAAAAAAAAAGTAGGTCGCCTCACTAGGCTAATCCTCCGCCTGCGGCACCAGCACACCAGGTTCTAGTCCCGGTCGGGACTCCGGATTCTATCCCGGTTGCCCTTCTTCCAGGCCAGCTCTCTGCTGTGGCCCAGGAGTGCAGTGGAGGATGGCCCAGGTCCTTGAGCCCTGCACCCGCATGGGAGACCAGGAGAAACACCTGGCTCCTGCCTTCGGATCAGTGTGGTGCGCCGGCCGCAGTGCGCCAGCTGCAGCGGCCGTTGGAGGGTGAACCAACAGAAAAGGAAGACCTTTCTCTCTGTCTCTCTCTCTCACTGTCCACTCTGCCTGTCACAAAAAAAAAAAAAAAAAAAAAAAAAAAAAAAAAGACAAGTTTGTAAATAGCAGGAAGCAGGATTTGACATTTCCTGTGAACCAGTTCTAAGCTGTTCTTGCTGCAGGAATGGAAATCTTCCCAAGCAGACTTGTGTCATGAGCTCACCATTCTGTTAACATTTCAGACAGTGATGCATGAAGGTTTTGCGTTTCCTGGCAACAACAGTCACCAACGTCCACTGAGCACCTGCCCTGTGCAGGTGTCTTGTGTCTGCTCCCGTGTTTGCTCCCTACCCAGCCCTACCATCCAAGCACCATCAGCATCAGCCAAGGAGGCAGCCCACCCACAAAGCATCAGAGCCGCTCAGAAATTGACCTGGGATTCAGGCCAAAGAGCCTGGCTCAAGACTTGAGTTGGCAGCATCTTTGCGTGGGGACCGCAGCTTTCTGCCTTCCTAGGGCTGCCCCGGGCTCTGACTCTGAAGGCCCCATGCTCTCCAGCCAAGGGTGCACCCCTTCGAGGACCGCGGTTTCACTGTGATCTCCTTTTGTCCCCACAGGCACCCAGGGATGAGGAAGTGGCCTCGTCAGTACGAATGGTTCTTTATGAAGATGAGGGTAGAACACATCTGGCTTCAGAAATGGTATGGAGGAGTGAGCAAGGTTTCAAGGGAGGAATATTTCAAAGCTGTTCCCAGAAAGGCCTGATGAAGTAAGAAGCAAGTCGTTGGTTTGCATTCAAGTGCAAACATTTTAAGGGATGCCACCTGCTGGCTCCTGGCTGCTGTCTCTTTCTTGAAGGGCTCCTAGCAGCTCTGCCAACGCTGCTGCAGAATGAGAGAGGGGGACCAGGCAGTGTCGCGCTAGACATGAGAATCAAGTGGCCATTTGTAGACCACCCCCCAGTCCACACAGGTACTTCACATAGATGTCTTTGTTTACACTGTATTCAACCTTGACTCTCCTGTTTGGAACCCATCGTTGGTTGTCAAGATGACATATTGAGACTGTGGCTGTTCCATTCTTTAAAAAAAAAATAATGCTCTTACATGGAACATGATTGCTTCATACGGTGAGGGTGTTTTTGTTGCTTGCTGTGCCAAAAGCAGTGTCTTGGTTCTAAGCTCATCGCAACCACAGAGGAGTAGCCTGTGCATCACACTGCCACAACGCTGTGTTCAGGGTTAGGGGAGATGACAACTTGTCCATGGGTTGCTCGTCATGTGACTGAATTGCAAAGGCGTGACTTGAGTCCCATTTGCCAGAATGTCTGAGTTGCTTATGGAGCCCTTTTCCCCCTGAACGTGACTGACCATGTCAGGACATCCAGTTTTGTGCACAGGCCTACTCCGTACAAGTGGAACACGGTTGTAAGTGAAAGTGAATGGGGTAGCGTTGGCGTCACACTTGCTGGATCCCTGCTGCTCAGATTTCTGACAGAGACTCCAAAGAAGGAGCTCCTCACTCCTCAGTGTGGGCAGAGGAGAGGAGAGAGAGAGCAGATTGGAAGCAAAGGCAATCAGGGAGTGGAGGAAGGGAAGATGTTACTCACCACGGGCCCACTGCCTGCCAGCCAGAAGTCATCTCATTTAAGCGCTACAAGAGTGAGATGGCATTGCCACTTTCAGACAGGGAAACTGAGGCCCAGAGAGGCCAAGTCAGCATTCCAAGATCAGACTCCAGATCTCACTAGAAATGAGAGAGAGAGTGACACCTACATGACTTCTAGTTTCAAGAACAAGAGTTGCTGAAATACACAGGTAGTCATTGATCCAGGAAAATCAGTAAAGTGATTGTGAAAAAGAATGGCTAACTTGCCTGGAGAGGATTTGCCACTGCTTCCAGGGTGAGTTAGGGGTGGGGAATCTCTGAAATTTAATTCCTTAATCAAATTAAAACTTTCTACAACTCATGTGTAGGAATTCCTTGTGTTTGGAAAAAAAAAAATTAGACCACATTTGTGTACATTTCGAGGGCCTGCCTGAACCTATGTGAGTATACCCATGACTTTTTATAGTAGAAACATAAAAAGGATCTAGCGGTACTGAAGTTTTCCATCTTCCTACAATGGCTATAAACCCTCCAGTGGGTTAGGTGTGTTGTATAGCATAAAAACACATCATTATGGATAGGAAACATACATTGTTAAATAAAAGTGCTATTAATGGTTTTACTTTTGTTCAACAAAAGAAGACTTGAGAGAGTTTGAGTTGTCTAAATATATTTTAAGTGCCTGTTACTAAGCACATGGTAAGATGCACAGAATTCTTTACTCGTCATATAAGCCAATTTTCAAGTTTCTAGCAATGACGATTTCTAGTACATAAGGATGGGAGAACGTTTGAGGGTATTTCCTAAATTACTACAACCCTCAATTTAGAAGGGGAAACCTGTAAGAACAAAATTAATGCTCAAAAATGTGTCATAAGCCAACTTCAGACCTTAACTCTTGGAGAAACACTGCCTTCTCAGCGCTGTCTTACAGATCATGTCCCTGTTCGAGGTTTGCTTTCATAGTCAGGTTCTGTTTAGCTCATTAGCGGTCACAGGTGCTTAAAAGGGCTTTGCAGAGTGGGTGTCGTTAACAAACACTGATGATTGTTGTCAGCTATTTCTCCAGATCACAGGAAATGAAATCTGGACCCGTGTGACAAGAAGAATGTGGTTGAACCTTCATGGGCTTGTGTCTGATGGGTCCCCCTGGGGCAAGCACATTTCAGCAAATCCTTAGAACTTTACATTGACTAAGCTTTTACAGGCTGTATTGGAAGTTTTAGATGTGGCAATAAGGCAAGAAAAAAGAAATAAAGTGAGAACAGATTGGGAAGAAAGGAAGATACCCCTATTAACAGTTGACATGATTGTCTATGTAGGGATTCCAAATAAGTTATTTTTAACAAATCAAAACACTCCTAGAACTATTGAGTGCAGCAAGGTCTCAGCATACAAGATCAACACAGACAATTTAATTACATTTCTATATACTGATGATGAACATGTGGAAGCCAAAACTAAAAACATAATACCATTTACAATCACTCCCAAGAAAAAGAAATACTTAATTATAAACTTAGCAAAGTGTGTTCAGGATCTGTATTCCAAACCTTGGACTAAATTTCATACCCTATACAGAAATCGACTCAAGGAGATAATATTCCTAAACATAAAATGTAAAACTATAGAGAAAAACCAGAGAGAAAATTTGGAGGACTGAGGGCTGAACAAAGAGTTCTTAGACTTGACATCAAAAGCATAATTCACAAAAGGGAAATTGGATAAATTAGACTTTTTTGGCTTTTCAAAAGATCAGGTTGAAAGGATGAAAACACAGGACACATACTGCGAGAAACTCTTCGGAACCACACATCTGACAAGAGACTAGTACACAGAATATATATAGAACTCTCCAAGCTCAAGAGCTTAAAAAACTCCAATTAGAAAATGAAGAACATGAGCAGACAGTTTATTTCAAAAGATACACAAACAGCACGTGTATTCAGCATAATTCATCATGAAGGGTCTGCAAAGTAAAACCACAAGGAGCTATCACTGCACGTCTGTCAAAGTCAGTAAAATAAAACAGCGGCTACACAAAGGTGCTAAGAAACCAGACCCATTGTATACCACTGGTGGGAAAGGGGGAATGTGAAAGGCAACAGCCACTCTGGAGAACCACTGGGCATTTTCTTATAAAACCAAACATGCAACCAGCAATTCTACTCCTGGGCGTTTGTCTCAGAGAAAGGGGATCCATGAACATGGTATCTCCCTGCTTTTGTGTAGGTCTTTCATTTCAGACAAATGAAAACTCACACACACATATCAGGTTTATTCATAATATTCAAAGGCTGGAAACAGCCAGACGTCCTCTGGTGAGTGGCTGGTGAAATCACCAGTGGCACATCCGCAGCTTGGAGTACTTACTCAGCAAGAAACAGAAACTAATTACTGACACAGGCAACACCGTGGATGAACCTCTAGAGAATTATGCTGAGTGCAGAGGGCCCATTCTGGAAGTTTCCCCGCTCTATGACTCTACCTACATAATCTTCTGGAATGCAAGGTTACAGGAATGGAGAGTAGAGTAGGGGCTACCAGGGACGAGGATGAGAGTCAGAGAAGGGAATTAACACGACAGATAGATATGTTCAGTGTCTTGATCAGTCAGTGTGAAAACTGTGGGTTTGTACTACAGCTTAGCAAGATGTTGCCATTGGGGGAATCAAGGCAAAACATACACAGGATCTCTTTATATAATTTTTTATAGCTGCATGTGAATCCACACTGTGTTAGAATCTACGATTATCTCATAGGAAAAAATTTAATACAAACAAGATGTAAGGGTTAGCTTAAGAAAGGCATTTATGCTCACTCTCTCTCTCTCCCTAATAAATGAGGAACTGAACTATGTGCCAAAACTTAGCAGAAAGAGACAGTATTTCTTCTGTTAATCATTAACATGTGCATTTGTGGAAGAGACAAAGACTTCTTGAGAAGTCTTCTAGATGGGTTCAATTTAATATTAACTACAAAGGAATAAGAATTTGACAAATCCACTCTACCAATTTTATGTGGGACACTTCAAGAGGGAAAAATATCTTCAAGTTTCTGGCATAAACATGTTGCATAAGCTCTGTGTGTGCTCTGTAAAGAATGATTTCCCACTGATATTTATAACCAAGAACTATAATTCCAATTATCGTCACTCTAAATATTCTGAGAAAGAATCCTTGTTTTGTTTCTTTAAATAAACAGAAGTATTTCAGGACCCTCATGTTTTTATTTACAAGCACTGTTCACACCCATGGTGGAATTCTGATGCTATTGGTTTCAATATGCCTCGGATACTGTTTGTAAGAGCGTTGCTTTGAGGTTGAAATGTATTTCTAAACTTTTTTTTTTTTGGCGGAAGTCTGTATTTGATTTTTAATAATTTACCTATCAAATACCATCCTGAAAATAAAACCTCTCTAGAATAATTTATTGATTGTTGCTTACCTGATTGCTAGAATATCATTGTAAAATGAACTGTAACCAAGTTAGGATTTGTCTGTGCCATATAGTGCATGTGCGGTGTAAAATCTGTTTTCAAAACTAGATATGTCTATTTAGCCAAAGTCTGTTTCATTCCTGATGTGATCTCGTGCTCAATTAAATGAAATTATGACATTTCTACCTAGTCTTTTCATGTAGTATTACAAATGAGCATTTTTCCGGTTGTAAGAAAATAGATTCTATTAGAATGAAACAGTGGTTACATTTCTAATAGAGAATAAGGGGTGGGGCATTTGGTACAGCAGTTGAGGTGCAGCCTGGCACGCGTGCATCCCCTGTTGGAGTGCCTGGGTTCAAATCCTGGCCCTGCTCTTGCTTTCAGCTTCCTGTAATTTACCTCCTGGGAGGCTGGTGAGGACTGAAGTGGCTGAGTCGAGTCTCTGCTGTACACATGGGGGACCTGGATTGTGGACTTCTGGGAAGTGAACTGGCAACCTCAAAAACAACCCTCAACTTTCCCCTCCCCTCCCCTCCCCCCACCCCCACTCCTCCTCCTTCTTCTCTCTCCCTCTCCCTCTCCCTCCCTCTCTTTCTCTCTCTCTCTCTCTCTCCCCCTCCTTCTCCTCTTTGTCTCTCTCTGTCTTCCTCACCCATAAATAATTTTTTAATTTATAACAATCCGCTGGGGGACTTTTGTTGACATAATATTTATGGCTCTGAGTAAAATATGCTTCACTTGCAGACTTGAAAATGCTGACGTAGCCATAGTGGTATTCCCCACTCTTGAAATAGTTGCCATTTTTAGCACCATTGTCATTCCCAGAGTCCAGGGCTAGGAAAAAGCTCTGTTTTACAGGTAAGGAGACACACCCCAAGGGTCTCACACACACACACACACAGTGTGGCTGCAATGGCACCTGCCCATAAGAGTGACAATCCTAGGTGACTGAGCTACTACAGACCACCCACCAGTACCCATGCTATGGAGGGTGACCGGCTGCCAGTTCACCCAAGCCTGGTGCTTTCTGGGGACCAGGGACTTCCAGAGGCAGAGCCAGGGAGGTCTTGAATTTGGAGACAGTTGTCGACCCTGCTTCCACGCCACCTCAGCCGCCCCTGTTTTGGGTCATTCCCGGGAGCAGACTAGCTCAGAACTCGCCAAGCATCCAGGCACCTCCTCCAGGCTCAGGTGAGGCTCTGCTGCTCCACTGGGCTCCTTCAGCCTGGCTCACTGGCTCAAGAAAATGACTGACAACAGGGCGGGATTACAGTGACCATCTGAGGCCCTGCCCACAGACACCCGTGTTTTATAGGCAATAAGTAGGCCTCAGTCTTAGGGTTCAGAGCTTCCTCCCTCTGACCAGTATCCTCCACCTCTCTGTTTTACATCAGAACCGCATGGCACAGCCAGCCCTGGTTCATAAAGTCAGTGCTTATCTCTGCACCTTAATGGCCCCCGCCTGACATGCATGGTCCGTGTTCTTCCCGGGAGCCCCTCCCCCATTCTCTCTTGGATTTTTCCCTGATTACTGCGATGAGTGCTTGCCCCACTGCACCCCCAGAGGAATTCTCTAAAGCATGGTAGCCCCTCCTCCTCCTGTGGGAGGGTTTTCTGGGCAGAATGCCTCTGCCTGGGCTTCTCTGAGATGGAGGCAGGTGTGATGGAATAAAAAGGACACAAGGAGGAGGTTGGAGGGTTTTGTGTTTATTTTTTAATAATTTTTAATAATAAATACATGGAAAATTGCAGTGGCAGCAGCACTGGAAGAGTGCTGGAAGAGAGCACTGGAAGTGGTGATGGGAGCAAGACTTCTGCTCATCTCAAGCTATTGCTAGGAGAGTGAACTTTGGGCCCCTTCACCCGTAGACTGCAGGCATATGGAACAAGAATATGATGACGCTGACCCTTGAGGCCATGGGACTCTTGTTTTGGGGACATTTGCACCCAGTTGATACAGTCTTTTCTCCTGCTGGTTTCTAGCCCCTGCTTTTGGTTCAGTAGAAGTTTCCCACAAAGGGGTTTATACACTTCGCCATCAATCAGCGCTGCTTCCCTATGGGCCCCACGTTCCCTGTGCCCTTCGGAACATTGATTCAGGGCTGTCTCCCAAACTGCAATTCCTAAGACCCCCACTACAGTCCTTTTACTTCTCTGGTTTGGATTGATCAACCTCATACGTATGGCTCGTAGGCACAGTGCGGGCACACAGTTTCTTGGCCTTGTAACTCTTGGGAACTAGTGAATCCTTTGACTCTCCTTCTGATGTACTAATTTCACTCCAGGCTTCCATCTCACTCATAGCCAGGGATTCTAAGTGCAGACATGTACAAGGTACAAAAGTGATAACCGATTTTTTTCCCAAGAGCTGAGACAATGAACACGCAGGCACACGTGAACGTAGGTTGCCCCACATGGAGAAACACCCAGCATGAGTGGGCAGTAGGCTGGAGGATTGCTCCAAGGGAGGACAGGTGGGGCAGGGAGATGGATGGAGTTCCCGACAGCACCTCCAGCTGTGGTCTGCAGGGAAAGAGAGAGCCCCTCCCAGTTTTTGGACTCTTTTACGAGGTCAGGGGTGGTGCCTCTGGAGGGGTGGCACCTCCACGAGTCCCTGTGAAGTTCCAAATCCCTGTTTTCCTGGTCCTGGGTGATGCAGCGGCATCCCGGGAAAGGGGACTTTTCACTGACAAGTAGGAGGATAGAATTCCACGTGGGGGCTTCTGACTTCCCGCTCAGCAGGCCTAAACTTACCACCTGGCTATTTACTCCACATCCGCCTTGGCAAATGGGATCATTACGACTTGGCGCCTGGCACACCCTAAAGGCAGAAACAGCTGCATCACGTGACCGCTTGTTTTCACAGGGTGAGGAACATTTGAGGGGTTGCTGTTGCACCTGCACTGGGTTCTGGCTCATAGTAAGTGCTCAAAGTACAGAAAGCAGGCCTGAATTACATACCTGTTGGGTTTTGGGCAAGTGCTCCCTTCTGGGACTCAGTCATTGGCACACTTCCTGTTTTTGCTGTTTCCCTGAATAATAACTATGCTCAAAATGAAGCAAGTCTGCAGTTGAACTGTTTCACTCAGAGCCTTGAAAATGGTGCCTGACTTGTACCCTCACCGGGTCTGCCCATTCTCCTGACCACTTCCAGATAAACTTCTGACCCTCCCCAGTTTCCAAACCTGGCGAGGTTTTGCACTGCAGCCATGGCAAGGCTCACTCACCGTGCCACCCGGTGGTTCCTCCCGGAAATTTCACCTTGCCCAGAACCCAGATTTCCAGAAAGAAACTGAACCAAGAGCTGCCTTGGGTGAAGCGTCTTGGTGGCCACACACACACACACACACACACACCAAGCTCTCTCTTTTGAAAATACACACATGGGGCCAGCATTGTGGCGCAGCGGGTTGGTGCCCTGCTGAAGTGCTGGCATCCCATATGGGTGCCGGTTCTAGTCTCGGCTGCTCCTCTTCCGATCCAGCTCTCTGCTATGGCCTGGGAAGGCAGTCCAAGTCCTTGGGCCCCTGCACCCACATTGGAGACCTGGAAGAAGCTCTTGGCTCCTGGCTTCGGATCAGCACAGCTCCGGCCGTTGCGGCCAATTGGGGAGTGAACCAGCGGATGGAAGACCTCTCTCTCTCTGCCTCTCTTCTCTCTGTGTAAATCTGAGTTTCGAATAAATAAATAAATCTTAAAAAAAAAAAAAAAGAAAACACACACATGGTAGACAGGGTAGACTACAAAGTATGACATTTGGATAGTGGTATTTTAAATTATTTATAGCTGTTACTAAAAGTGAGTTTTTGCTTAGGGCAATGACTTTACACTGATGTGCATGAATTTCAATTTTTTTTCTGGCAAAATTATCTTTACAGTGCATTTTTCACAAATGTATTGAAGGACTCTCCACACAAACTCATTCTGAAAAGGCTTTCATTTTTCAGATAATTGCATCACAGATAATTACACCATGATGCTTGGGGTTACTGGACTCTTATTTTATGGACATTTCCAATCAGTTGATACATTCTTCAATTGGTTTCTAAGTGCAGACATGTATAGGGTGCCAAAGTTGTTAGGAAAATAATTGCAGATTGGTGCCTCCTCACGTGGGGCACCGTAAATGTTAGGAGAAGAGGCGCAGAATAGAGAGGACACAGTGTACGAATTTACAGCCAGACCACATTTATTCAGAGAAAATAAATTTGTAGAGGTGGGTGACCAACTGCCCACGTGCACAGTGAAGGCAGAAGGCCCCAACCCCCAGAGGCCGGGCCTTTTTAGATTTTAGGACTAGGGGTGGGGGTGGGGTAGAGGGCAGCAGACAGAGGTGAATTCCTGGAACTTGGCAGGGCCTTGGGAACCTGGGAAAGAATGCAGGGTGGGGTATGTAGGCAATAGGATCGAGACCCAACTGAGTTCAAGGGCAAGGAATACATTCCAACGTTTATCTATCTTTTGGGCAGTGAGCAAGAATGGCTGAGGCTTCTGTCTTTGTTCCATCCAAAGTGATACCAGATTTTTTTCAAGAGCTGAGACAATGAACACACATGCACATATGAGCATGGATTGCCCTGCATGGAGAAACACCCAGCATGAGCAGGCAGTGGGCCAGAGGATTGCTCCAAGGGAGGAGGGGTGGGGCAGGGGAGACAGACAGGGCCCCTGACAGCACCTCCAGCTGTGGTCTGCATCGAAACAGAGGGCCCCTCCCAGTTTGGGGGGCTCTTCTATGAAGGGGGAAACCTGAGACCCAGCAAAGCTGGCAGACCTGGTCCCAGGAAGGCAACTCAGCACTGACTCCAGCCTCCTTTCTGTGCCCTCAGCGGGCTGGAGGTTTCAGAAAGTACTCGCTCCCCTTCTTGGGTTTTCCTTCCCTGCTCAACACCCCCACCATTGAGCGTGGCTGTCCTGTCGCCGATCTTGGTGGAGGAAGGACTGCTTCCTGCAGATTGGAAGGGCCATAGGTCGGCAGAGTACTCATGGCAGACCCCTGTTAAGCCCCACCAGGCTGTGTTGCACCTAGGTCTCCCTGCACCCCTGTGAGGAGGGGCTTCCTGCCCTCTCACTGCCACGTAAAGAAGCTGCAGGGTCATACTGCTAATTCGTGGCACCGGCTGTGAGCTTCGGGTGCAACATTCATTCTCTAACCTATCACCCAGTGGTCTCATCCAGG